ATGGAACTGGAGATTGTCATGTTGAGTGAGATAAACTGTTCTCAAAAAATCAAATATGACATGTTCTTTCACATTTGCAAAAACTAGACCTAAAATGATTACAATGATTATGATTATGATGATGATAAATTAATATAAATAACATTCTCCAAAAACTGACACTGACCTAGCATTAGAATTGTTAATTAACAGGTGTAAGTCAAAAATCAGTGAGTGGAAGGGTAAAATTAAGAAATGACCTTCACATGAAAATTCATTTTTTCAATTAAAGTCAGACATTGCTAAATTTAGGGTTGTTTAAGTAAAAACAAAAATTCAGAATCCGTTCTCTTTTTCTTTGTATTATAGAGTCTCTGGGATTTTTACTAATGCTCTTTGGACTAAAATAACGTACTCTAATTTTAAAACACAATCCTTTTTTAAAATCTGATGAATCTCAGTAGTTCTGTAACACTCCCCAAATAATTATAGTGTATGATGAAAATAATTTGATCAAGTCTGGAAGTTACCAACTTACACTTCAAGCAAGCAGACACCACCCAGCAGACACCCATGACTATGACCACTTCACAGCACCAGACAAGGAGCTCAATACAGATAGATACATGGATAGAAAGTACGTAGATAGAAGTATAAAATAGATAGATAGATATATAGATAAATAGAAGATAGATAGATAGATGATAGATAGATCATATCTATGTATCTAAATGATAGATACATAGATACACATATAGTATATATATACATATATATACAATATATGTATATATATTGATATGGATGTAGATATAGATTCCAAGAGAATGATTCAACTCCTGAATGTCTGGTGATGCAGACGAGAGTCCACAAGATTTAGATATATCCAGTTGGCTCCATATGTATCAAAATGTACATACTAGTAGGGAAATCCAAGACAAGACTTATACCTTCTAATATTAGTGGATTAGTAGTGCGCTCCTGCCAGACTAGGCAAGAAAGGACAAGCTTGATAGAATACAAGGTCAACATCACCATTCAGACTCCAAGGATGTGTTTGAACTACCTAGAATGATGACAAATTGTAAAACTTAACTTTACTCTATTTTCTTCTCCATTACCTTGAGGAAGGAGGGAGGAAGGAGGTAGCATTAGAACATTTTGTGATTCATTTTTTTTTTGTTAGTTTTTCATACTCTTAGATGTTTTCTGTGAAAATCATTTTGAGGCAAAACAATCACCTTCTAGTTTCACTTTATTGAGACTGACAAATAGTCCTAAGCAACAATTAAGAAAACATCCACAAATTGGAAATCAGGAAAAGAATTCTCACAGAGGCTTAGGCAGTCAAAAAGTGCTTTGGGGCAGATCTGACCAGCAGGAAAGAGAAAGGGAAAAGGATGAGGTAAAGTAGCCAGAAGGAGAAAAACATGGATCAAAGGTTAAAATTGCATCCACTGTCAAGCAAATATTCTGAGTTCTGGCAGATAATGATCTTTCACTTTATTTGTTTAATCCACAGACATTTACCTGACATTCCATTCTGCTACACACTACAATTTCCGTAATGAGCTATGTTTCCAAACATAATTTCAAAAGATAGGAACTGACAGTTTATTGATAAAAATTCCAAAGATTTTGGCCTTCGTTGGATAATAAGAAGGCATTTAGAAAGTTTAAGGAGTAATTTATATATAAGGATTGTTTCACAATGCGCTTGCCTGAGGAATGCAGAAACAAACTGATAAAAATTTACAGGATCTAAATTGTTGAAAGGCCAGATGGTATTTTCAATCAAAATCTTCAAGTCAGAGTTTGATCATTGTACTGTTAATCAACTTTTCACATGTCTCTTCCCCATCCATAATACTAAATACAACTCTTCATATCTAAGGCATTTATTTTGTGTATTTGTTGCTTCCCAGTTCTTATCTTTCATGTTTTGTTTATCTCTGATATTCCCAGAAATCATTTCAAAATGTCCACTTCTAAGACTTTCATAAAGGAAATCAAATTTGAATCCATGGAAGTTCCCAACGTGTGATCTACTTATAAAATGTTAAAGCATGATGAAATATATACCTTTGTAACCATTTAGGACGATACCATATTTGTTTGTGACATAGAGAACATTGCCACAAATTGCTATGCATTTACTCCATAAAAATCTGTTATATGTGTTTGTGTTTGTGTATGGGTATGTCTGTGTATCTTCCTCTTTAGATAAATATGAATGGCTAAAGCAATAACAAATTCCTTTTGCTGGATTTAGTAAGAACTTCTTGCTGAGCACTGCCTTTTTCAAGCTGAAACTAAGAATTATCTACCTGAAATGGGAATGCAAAATTTTAAATTGGGATCTGATGACATGCAAGTGAGGTTAAGCAGTTATCTCAAAAAGCCAGAGGCATGAAAGAATTGTGTGTGGTGTCTGTGTCTTTGTGTGCCCCCATGCATGTGTGTGTGTGTGTGTGTGTGTGTGTGTGTGTGGTCTGTGTCTGTGTTTGTGTTTCTGTGTGTACAGGGAATAGTGTAAAGAGGAATGTAGAGGGGAGTTCAACAAAGACGGGTTTGGAGAGAGAAAGAGAAAGGAAAACTCCTTTTACTTCAATTTTCATCAGCTTTTAACCAGACCACTTTCGATTTTGTTTATCCCAAACTAATCTTGAGTAGCATCACCAGCTTGCTTGAGAATGTTTGCATTAAACAAATTCAGGAGGTAATGAAGGAACATTGATTTGGCCCTTTCAAGGATGACTATTTTCTGTTGTTGCCCAGAAAGTCCAAGCTTCGGTTTTGACTTAGAGGCATATCCAGACATTGCTGAATACTGACATTTACTTTATGAACCTTCGTCTGTGACAACCTCAGCAGAATTGTACTTTCTCTCCTATCTTCTTTAGTGATGTATTAAAAATGAAAAGCAATAACACTAGACTGTACACACTAACTACCTGCTTTGATCTCCCTCCGTTTATATTTGCAGTGCTGGAAACCAGGTCTTGCACATGCCAGGAAGTGCTCTACTACTGAGCTGTGTCCCCAGGCTGTCGTTGAATGAAGACCAAACAGGTATATGCTCCTGAAGGTGCTAAATGAAACGTATGCACTACATTGCCTCTTTTATTCTTGATTACTCTTATGTTTTAAAAATTCCATTCAAATTTTGGTATCATTTTTTGCAAAATAATCTGAAAGCAATTTTTAAAATAAATTAATCTTTTCTGAAATAAAACTGATTTTGGTTGGGGATACAGGCTTAGTAATAGAACAATTGTCTAGCATAAACAAGATCCTGGGTTTGAACTGAAGTAAAACAAGGGAAAAAATAAACTTCTGAAAAGTAAAACTGATTTCTCTTGTGTTTTGTAGCCAATCAATGAAATAAAGAGCCATGTTTAGCCCACTCATGGGGACATTCAGTTAGGGAAAAAAAATGCCAGTTTATACACCGCTCCAATTTCTACACAAGATCACAAATAGCATAAATATTACTATGACATATAGTTTTATTTCATTGAAGAAAGCAATTTTATCAAAAGTATAGAAAGGGAAAAAAACCTACAAACTACTTCAACCTCTTGTATAAAAGCTCGCAATTTCTAGCACAAGATCAACAAATAGCATAAATATTACTATGACATATAGTTTTATTTCATTGAAGAAAGCAATTTTATCAAAAGTATAGAAAGGGAAAAAAAACCCTACAAACTACTTCAACCTCTTGTATAAAAGGAAATTGTTGAAGGAAAATCAAGTATGACAATATTGGGTTCAGATAGGAAATGTGTGGTAATTTAAAACTGTAAGTCAAGAATCTAAGTAGGCGAACATTCTGAAAAGGAACTAGGCCAATAGACAGCTGGTGTTAAATGTCAAAGTACATAACTATTGGTTAATTTAGTAAATAGTACAATAATAAAAATATTTCCAATTACATTAGAAAATGTTTAACTATCATTTGATATATTCTATTCAGAATGTTAAAGTAGTCATTTCTTGTCTGTTTCTCAACCCAAAATGTTATTTCAAGAAGATATTGTCACAATTTGAATTATTCACCAAATGTTTCTTTCAAACTTAAATTTCCTATTTTAGTTAATCATCGTCAAACTACACTGATTCAAAATTCCTAGTTTCCCAACAAAAAGACACATCAAAGTGTTTTCCTAAACCATCCAGCAAATAAAGAAGGCAAAATACCTTTTCTAAATGAAATTCATGATGTTTATGTAGGAACATTTTACAGTCAACGTGAAAAGTGGAAATGTATTCTTACTTTCCGCTTTTACTGAAAAAGAAGAGGAACCTATAAGAGAAACAGTGGTGGAGGTCAAGTCAGATGGGTAAGTGTAGAGTTCTTAAAAACCTTCACTTTCCCATCCATGCATTAAATACTTATTGAAGTTCTACTTTACAAACTAAATAAGAAAACTCTTTGCCAAAAGAAGTTTAACACATATAGTATACACATAAAAAGTGTGCAGTTCTTGATAGTTTGTTGGACATTCCATACATGTACTTTTTCCCAGTGAAGGATGGAAAAATGAGAATAGAAACCCACTGTCTAATTCATGTGTCCAAAGGCCAGTGGCAAAGAAGTTCCAACTTCCACAGTGACATAAAGTAAACCTAGTAGTACCTGATTTCATTATTGTCAGACCACTGATCATTTTTCCCCAGAAAATGATATTAATATTAATATCATTTAATATTATAATCATCATTTAATATTAATATCATACTAATATTATTGATATTAATAATAAAAATAAGTAAATTACTTTCTACTAATTTTTGTACAGGAATAAGGCTAGGACAAACAAATTGTGCAAATCCTGAGGAAAAGAAAATACTCTCAATACAAAGGTGATATAAATTATCTAGAGAGGATTCATATATTTTCACTCTAGCAAGAAAGAATGAGGATAGGAAGACTGTCACACAAATATCTGGATTAAATACACTGAATTACATATTCTTTAACTACATGCTGAGAAAGACACTATTTATGATGAGCATTAGAACCACAGGGTTTTTCTCAGGGCAACTTTAACATCTTTGTTCCTTAAGCTGTATATTAAGGGATTCATCAGTGGAACTGTGTTGGTGTAGAAGACAGAAGAGATTTTACCTTCATCCAATGACATGGCAGAAGATGGCTTGAGATACATATATGCACCTGAACCAAAGAACAGGGAAACCGCAATTATGTGGGAACTGCAGGTGCTGAAGGCTTTAGACCTGCCCTCAGTGGAGCTGATGTGAAAGATGCTGGAGAGGATGAAACCATAAGATATAAGAATAGTGAAACTGGGCACAGTGATGTTGATTCCAACCACAATAAAAACCTCAAGTTCATTGACATAGGTGCTGGTACAGGAGAGCTGGAATAAAGGAAGGATGTCACAGAAATAGTGGTTGATTATGTTCACATCACAGAAAGCCAGTGTCAGCATGCAACCAGTGTGGGCCATGCCACCAGAAAAGGCCATCAAGTAGGAACCAAGGATAAGATTGGAACACACTTTAGGGGACATGGCAATGCTATACAGAAGGGATTTACATATGGCCACATAGCGATCATAAGCCATTGATGTCAGCATGTAACATTCAGAAATGGAAAAAAAAACTGAAAAAATAAAGCTGGGTCATACATCCCCTGTAAGAGATAACATTCTTCCTAAATATGAAGTTCATTAGCATTTTGGGTGTAAACACAGAAGAATAACAAAGGTCTATGAAGGACAAGTTAAAGAGGAAAAAGTACATAGGGGTATGAAGGTTTGAATTAAGTCCAATTAGAATTACCAAACCCAAATTTCCCAACACAGTGAGCACATACATTACTAGAAACAGAAAGAACAAAGGAAGTTGCAGGTTCGGTTGGTCTGTTAAACCCACCAAAATGAATTCAGTCACAAAAGAGCCATTTTCAGGATCCATTCTTATTTATGGAAGTCTGTGGGCATAGTCACAGAAGGATTACATTAGAGGATAAGTCAGTTATTACGTCAGGGCATAAGTCAGTTCTTGGACTATTTTCTTTACACAGTATTGAACATCACTAGAATTGACTGGACCTATAGAATCTACCTTTACTACTAATATGATGCTGAGTGATGCTGTTTCCCCTTCACTTGAGATTTAACAAATCAAGTATAGTAAGTTACACTACAAAATCTGCCCTACAGATTGCATGCAACAATGACTACAGGAAAACCAAGGGGAAAGGAAGAACACAGATGAGCCAAGACCTTATAACTGGTATTATGGTTCTTGGAAACCTGCTGTTGGCCTCTAATTCACATTAGACATTGACACAGTGGAAACCATAGCACCTTTGTAATAAAAAAATGGAAGAACTGAAGTCTAGTAATTGTTTAATTACCACCCCATGGCATAGAAAAAAACCCTAAATCATGAAGTGAGAATGATCTATCCATGGAGAAGGAATTGCTGACTTAGATCCCACAATCCCTGTACTTAGCATCTCTCAACACTCTCTGCTCTCCCCTGAGTGTCTTTCAGCACTTTCTCTTGGTTTTGAAGACTACATAATATGGAATACATATGGGGAACATCTTAGATTCCTTGAGTTCCACCTAAAGGAAGACAATACAAATGGAATTCAGAAACTCACATTTCTAAATCCACAAACCTTGGTGTTTCTTATTGTTTACTTACCTTGGTGTTTTACAAGGGCAAGTACATATTTTATTTCTAGTATGTACAGCATATTTCTCTGAAGAGATCATAATTTATGATTACAACTTTAAATTCTCTCAGGCACCAGGGAAAATGGTCCTTATTACCATTTCCCCCTTTGTAAGACAGAATAATGACATTGTGCACTTGGTTATAAGCAGGGTACAAAGATTGCTCAATGTATTCTCCAGGGAACAGAATTTAGGTGCAATAGGGAAATAACAGGATTGTATTTACACTGTTTACCTATTCTGTCTTCAGTTCCTTAGGGACTCAATATATTACTCAAGTTTTCCCTTTACTCTAGGGATGGCAAATACTCCAAAAGGGACCAAAAATTATCTCTCATCATTCAGCAATGTGGTGGAACAGGAAGTCCTAGATCCTCTTTCCCTCCTAAACACAGTCGTTAAGCACCAGTTATAGACAGATTCATTTGAGAAAAAACAAAATATTAGTTATTCTGCTTATGCATCCTGATTAGCATGAAACCAGCCACACTGAATCTTTCATGAAAATTGGAGCTACCCTCTTTCTATAATCACTATTCCTGACACAGCACCACAAAGTTGGTATAAAAATTTGTCCCTGGGAAGGGACCAAGGCACAACATGCATGCATCCAATGCCCTGTCATTTTTGCAACTTATTCAAAGGACTTGTTCCTATCTAGCCTGTCTCATGAAGTGATAGGAGACAGAACAAGGCACACTCAGATGACCAGGTAACAGTGAGAACAGAGAGGATGGTGTAGACTGGCAGTCAGCATAGTCAATCTTCTCAGTTCAGTCCAGAGATAAGAAATGCAATATCCAAATTCCCAGTTTCCCACATAAACAAAAGGTGTGCTGTACTTCTAATCCCCCAAACTTTGTGTAGATAATGCAGGAAACTAGCTTCCATCTCTGCTGTCTCAAAGGCTGGCAATACTCAGGGCTTAGTGCATTTTTCTTTTCCAGGTCTAGTGAGAACAGAGATGGAATTTTGTTTGACAATAACCATATATCCTCTGTGAGAATCACGAAATTAGCAAATGAAAAAACCCAGCTCCAGAACTGCCCTAAGTAGGAAAAAGAGTCCAAAGGCCCAAAATATCTGGGAGCCTACCTGAGCAAGTGGCTTCTCTCACATTTGTGTCAGAGCAGTGACTGAATCTGGCAAACTCTAGACATCTGGCAGTCAGTCAATAAGAACAAAGAAAGCTGGTGTATTCTACTATTCAAAATGCTCCCCAAAAGGTGAAGAGGAGGAAATATTTTTGAAGTCATCTCATAAGACCGGGATACCAAATCCAAACAAAATTTTCACAAGAAGAAATCTTTTGGGTTTTTTTCTTAGATTTAGGGTTTCTTAATTTTGTGTCCTTATATTTTGATTTTTAAAATTAAATGAAATTTCTTTTAATTTTTTTATTTTCATTTTATATTGTTTTTCTATTCTTTGGTTGACTTCTTTCTATTCAAATCCTTATTATTTTTTCCTTCTGCTACCTTGACTTTTTGCTATTCTTTTTCTGGTCCCCTAAGATATAAAGTTTGGTTGCATTTTAAGATAATTTTTTTTGCTTCTAATACATCCATTTTACTTTTATTTCTTCATCCCATAAATTTTGGCATGTATTTTCTTTCTCATTGATCAAGAAATTTTTCTTATTTTTTTGTAATTTCTAATGAGAATAATTACACAAATTTATGAGATACCATGTGATGTTTTGATAAATGCATATATTGTGTAATGATCAAATCAGGGTATTCAGCATGTCTGTCATCTCAAACATTTATTCTTTCTTTATGAGGAACACTGAAAATAATTCTTTTTATGTATTTTGAAATAGATAACTGGTGCTTAATTGCAAATGTTGAAATAGTAACTGACTATAGTCACTCTGCTGTGCACTCAAAACCAGGAGTCATTCCTGCTGTCTAACTGTGGCTTTGAAACCATTATCCAAACCTCACAACCTCCCTCTTCCCCATGCTGCTCCATACTCTGATACCATTATTCTATTCTCTACATTTATAAAATCTATATTTTTACATTCCATGTAAGTGACCTCAAACAAAATTTGTCTTTCTGTACCTGGATCATTTTATTTAAACTAATATCCTGCAGATTCATCCATGTTACATTTACAAGATTTCATCTATTCATGGATGATTAACATTTCATTGTGTACAACAGCTACATTTTCTGCTGTATATCAATGGACTCTAAGATAGATTCCACGTCTTGTCTATTGTAAATAGCGCTACAATAAACATGGGATGTCAGATACAGAGATAGTTTTTTATTCCTTTTGATTTACTTTTTGGCCCAAATTTTGTTCAAAATTATTGTTTGGATAATTTTGGAATTTTCCTATTTATTATTGTTATTGATTTTGAGTTTTATTTCTTTGTGGTCAGAAAGATATTTGTAATGATAATGATCTTCTTAAGTTTGCTAAGACTTGATTTGTGACCTATATGCAATCTTTCTTAAAGAATGTTCTGTATTTGCCTGAGAAGTTTAAATTGTGCTGTTTGGAGGAAAGTTCTCCATATGTCTCTTCCACCCAGTTGTTCTATAACATTGCTCATTTCCGTTGTTTCTTTATTTTTTCCTTTGAATGATATGTCCTTTCCAAAGAGTGGGTATGAAATCTTTCATTGTGTAACTGTCACTTTATGCATTCAGTTCTGGTATTTTAACCTAGTTTGGTTCATTCTCTCCTGTTTCTCACTCGTCACAAGAATCAATTCAAAATGGGTCAGAGATCTTCATGTAAGATTTTTTTTATTGTTTTGCTGGCTGGGTCCATTATGGAATTTACAAAAGTTCTCATACTATATCAAATATATTATAACTGAATTCACCCCCTCTACCATTCTCCTTTATCCCTTACCCCCATTCTTGGAATATTTTCAACAGGTCTCATTTTTCCATTTACATACAAGTGACACAGTATTTGCACTACATTCACCCTCCCACACACTTTCCCCACCTCCACTCTTCACATTGGTACCAACCTCCCACACAAGACAGGTTCTGCCCTACTCTTTGCCATTTTTGTAAAAAAAAAAATTAACATTTTTGTTTCTTTAAGAAAGCTACAAAAGGAGTTTCCTTGTGACATTTCCATGTATATATGTATAATAACCCAAATTTGTTTTTTCTATTTTCTTTCTACCTTAGTTCCCTTCTTTTGGTAGTTTCAATGGGTTTAAAAATTCTATATTCATTATTGTGTACAGAGTACATCAACCATATTTATCTTATTAACTTCCTTCTTTTACCCTCCCCCTCTCATATGTGACATCACCTTATGTGACCTTTTTTTCATAATATTGCTGTATTTGTGTGAAGTCTATATTCCACAGACGAGAGGTCTGTTGTACATTGATGGACACTTAGATGGATTCCATATTTTGGCTATTGTACATAATGCTGCAGTAAACATAAGAGGTCAGATATAAAAATACATTTAATTACCCTTTGATTTCCTTTTTGGCCCAATGTAGTTCAAGAATATATGATTTCCATAATTTTGGAATTTTCCCATTTTATTACTGGTATTGATTTCTAACATTTCCTTTTGTGTTTAGAATAGATATGGAATAATAATGATTGTCTTAAGTTTTTTAAGATTTGACTTCTGACCTAATATGTAATGTGTCTTGGAGAATGTTCTTCTGTATTTACCTGAGAAGATTGTATGGTGCTGTTTGATGGAAAGTTCTCCATATGTCTCTTAGGCTCATTTGTTCTATAATATTGTTCAGCTCTGCTGTTTCCTTATGACTTTTTTTCTGAATGATATGACCATTCCAAAGAGTTGGAAATGAAATCTACCACAATATTACTGTCTATTTCTGCTTTCAGATATGGTTTTGTACCCCAGTTTGGTTCATCCCCTCCATTATTCTCCTTCCCCCTTCTTAAAATGACTTTGTCAGATTTCAGTGTTACATATTCATACATGGGTAGAAAATACATCAGCCATATTCACCTTCTTTTACCAACTTCACTTGCCCCCCAACTAGTACCTTCTCCTCGGCATGACCTGCTCTGCATTCCTCTTCTTCACTGTTTAAGTGTCTGTTCATTGTTCAGTGGGGTTTTGCTGTACACATATATGAAAATGTCCCAACAAAAGCTTCTGTTCATCAAAAGAAATGGTCTCTAAACTGAAGAGAACACCCACAGAGTGGGAGAAAATATTTGCCAACTATACATCAGACAAAGGACTGATAACCAGAA